CACAAATATTTCCGACTTTGTATGGTTTCAGATGAGTTGCGGCTCAATGAAATCGGTCTCTTCCTTTAGTAGTATAGATGTTCTTTTGCTAACCTTTTGGTTAGTCCACTGGTTGACAGTAAAATATGAAGACAACACTTTATAATTGCATGCGCCCGAAGCAGATGGTCTAAAAAAATTTACTTTAACACCGCCACATGATAATTGGCATATCCCAAGTCAGGAATCTCGTCAGAACTTATCTTTTGTCATATCTTTATGTTTATGGCCATTTTGAGTCATTTGTTGTGGACAACAAATCTTTAACAATCTCTGTTAAATATGTTCACTTTTCTCCCTTTTTTTTTTTTTTTTTGCGATTTGGAGCTGGATATATTGTGTATTATGGAAGACCGTATGTTTACTTCTATAGATGTCTTTTGGTTTTTAAAAAAGTTATGTTCATTTCGAACAGTTTGTTTTGTCGAGCTGCAACCAACCATTAATCTTGTTGGTATGGACGGGTGTGGTATTATTATCCATATGCATCATACATAAACTTTTTACTTAAGAACAACAGATCATTTTGTTTACTTCCGTTTGTTCAAAAGTTAGGATAAATTCTTCATAATAAGTCAACAGAAGTGTTATACAATTATTGGTTACTCTTATCTTTCGTTACCTATATCTATTGAACCACACTTAGACAAAATGTTGAAGTTTCTCTGTATTCTAACGTCTTTTTGTATACCTCTTGGATTATTTGTGAATGCTATCCCACAAAGTCAAGGATGTTATAAGAATGGAAAATATTACCAAGAAGGATCAAAATTTCAGCCCAGACCATGTGAACACTGTAGCTGTAACCAAGGAAATTTTAGTTGTACCATAGATGATTGTTTGGTGACACTTTGCGTTGATCCAATTTATGACCCAAACAAGTGCTGTCCTATTTGTCCGAACGGTAAGTTTATACCTAAGGTGTGTCAACGTACATATGTTAATGTAGTGCCTTGGCAGTTCAAACAAATCTATAAACGTAAAAAAAATAGCATGGCAAGTAAGATAACTTTTAATTTAACTGAATGAATGAATGAAAGTACAAAATTAGCTCCTGAGGTTTCAATAAATGTTCCCGTATAATATAAAGAAGCGAACGGATTGTTTTCTTACTTCAAGACTTTCTTTGTAATGGATGTTGAAACTCACATGTCCGAGACAAACTGACAGCGCCATGTCAAAAAACACAAAACGACCAATAGACAAACTTCATTCTGCAAAACACAACATGATCAACACGAACCCCACCATAAACCAGGAGCGATTGATGTGCTCCGGAAGGTAAACAGATCCTGCTCCACATGTGGCACCGACCGCGATGCTCATCCAAGTACAAACTTGGTGATAGGTTGATAAAACACAGATTTTAGTGCGGTTCAGTATCATTGAGGGATTTAAGTTGGTTTTATTTATCTAATTTTCAATATATGGCCAGTGCTTTGTAAAAAAAATAAAAAAATACTTTTCATATAAATAGTTTTGTCAACAAATTCTTTTGGATTCTGTAAACTATTAAGTTGTTGACTGGTATGTATCTTTAATTCCAGGACGTAATTGTTTGGCACGAGATAGAATTATACCAGCCGGTAGAAAAGTTTACCTGAATCAGCATACAGTCTGTCAGTGTCCGGACAGAATAACTCTCGACATGACAGTATTGGTGGCAACGTGTTATCAAACTGTAGACAGTCTTCCTATTCACAAGGTTGTTGGAAAATAAAAATAAAAACTGAAGTTATAGGTCTTGGTAAATTTGTTTTATCAATAATTCTCACGACAGCTTATGGTTGCATATTGTATAACTGCTTTATTTGGTCATATTTAGTGTCAGTGTCATGTTAACGCTCATGGCCTATTTTAGATTAGAACAATACATATTCATCTTTGTTGAGATTTTTTTTTTAAAGAATTCTAGCTTTTCTGTTTTACTTCGATCAGTGGAATAGCAAAGTGCACGTAAAATACGTTAATTAAAAATGAGTTCAGATAAGCACTGTTCTTTTATATCGGTATGACGGACAACAAAACGTGAGTACAGCTAAAACAATAATATATTATACTGTATCAAACAAACGTAGATCAAAGAGGGCCTGCTTCTTCTGAATTTAAATCACTAATAGTGTCAAAATTCGAAAGTACTCAAAACTTACTTGAATTAGAATATAAACGACTCTATATAAATCAAACTGTTCCTACTTCCTTTGCTGTTTCATAATCTGAAAATTTATTGGTATTATATTTCCCTTTTTGTATTTATACATTTTCTCAAAAGCTCAAAATGCTGTGATAAGTTATAGGGGATATACAATTATCATAATCATAGCATTTAGACAAGATGCATATTTTCACCAAAGTGTTGACAAAACTCGAAATCGAATGTTCAACTCCAAACCGTCTTAAACTAGCATTAAGCACTGTGAATTTTAGATGGAGGACAGCAATAACAACGTTTTTGTTTTCTTTTTATTTTGTCAATTAAGTGGTTGTAAGGATTTTGTTTAATGAATTAATGACCATATATCTTCTTTTCTTTCAAAGAATATTCTGATTGAAATAGCCTGAGTCACTATAAAAATGAAAACAACACTTTATAAAATTCATGCGTCCGAAGCGCTTTTCTGGATTAACTGCATCAGTAACGCCTAAAGCCGAATGTGTGAAAGCCGAGGATTTATAAGAATCGATACAGCTGAAGAGTTATATGACCACAAAGGATCTGAAGATAATAACAAATCCATCTAGATGTAAGTCAACTTTGCCCGAGGTAGTTGAAACCGTAGTTTCTTAATAATTTATAAATTTATAAACGGACAATTTAAGAACGATTTGTTGTAAATCATTTCAATATCGAAGCGCTGACTACTGAGCTGATGATACCATTGGGACTGATAGCCCACCAGCAGCGGTATCGACCCAGTGCTGTAAAAAATTATAAAAAAAAACACTTTGCGTCCGAATCGCTTTTCTTTATTTACCTTCATCAGGAACGCTCAAACTTAACTAACCATAATACTTTTAAACAAATTATTTTCATTAAATTTGACATTATGCAAAACAAAGCATATAGTTATGATTAAAATGCTGAATGTACTGATTTATGGAAAACGGATAATTGGTGTCAATAGAATTAAGTTTTAGAAAACTGTCTAAATCTCTGACATTTTACTCCTAGGTAATCGTATTTATAAACAGAAGTTTCTTTTGGTGAACATAGAAGTGATAGCATATATACATGTACACTTTGTGTATAAACTGTTTGAAACATGACACTATATAGTTCAGACTTCCTACTTGGTTGACGTATAGATCAAGCATTGCTGTTAGAATCATGACACTATATAGTGAAGCCTATACTTGGTTGACGTAAATGTACACTTTGTGTGCACGGTTGTGCATATAGAAATGACATTGCTGTTTGAAACTTGTCACTATACAGTGAAGATTCTACACTTGTATACCTTGTGTGCACATTTTTGCATATAGACTTGATATTGTTGTTATAATCATGATTATACAGTGAAGACATAATCATGACATATATTTAAGGATGTTCGCTCCTCCTGTTTTGAATTTTTGCCAGATATTCGGAAGTCCCGGGTTTTTTCCATGTAGTGCCATTAAAAATTTGGCCCGCTAACCCCTACTTTTCTTTTCATAATTTTATTTCATATAGTTTAAAAAGCCATATCTGAAAATCTTGAAAAATCCTTGTTATTTTTGTCATTGTTTTTGAAAAAAAGGAGGTCAATGTTAAATGTACGAAAAATCTAGAGAGAATCATTTCCCGCCAAATTTTCAATGGCTTATATCTCGAAAACAAGCACACGGACCCTTAATTTTTTTCTGCTTTTTTATTTCCTTTTTTAATATACTATCAATTTATAACAGTCTCTTAAAAAGCTTGTTATTTGGAAACATAGTAGCGAACATCCTTAAGTCTTCCTACTTGGTTGACATATAGACTTGACATTGCTATTAGAATCATGACACTATATAGTGAAGTCTCCGTACTTGGTTGACGTAAATGTACACTTTGTGTGCACGGTTGTGCATATAGACTTTACATTGTTGTTAGAATCATGACACTATATAGTGAAAACTCCGTACTTGGTTGACGTATAACATGTACACTTTGTGTGCACGGTTGTGCACATAGACTTGACATTGTTGTTAGAATCATTACACTATATAGTGAAAACTCCGTACTTAGTTGACGTATATGTAGACTTTGTGTTCACGGTTGTGCACATAGACTTGACATTGTTGTTAGAATCATGACACTATATAGTGAAAACTCGGTACTTGGTTGACGTATATATACACTTTGTGTGCACGGTTGTGCATATAGACTTGACATTGTTGTTAGAATCATGACACTATATAGTGAAAACTCCGTACTTGGTTGACGTATATGTACACTTTGTGTGCACGGTTGTGCACATATACTTGACAGTGTTGTTAGAATCATGACACTATATAGTGAAAACTCCGTACTTGGTTGAAGTAAATGTGCACTTTGCGTACACGGTTGTGCATACAGACTTGGCATTGTTGCTAGAATCATGACACTTTATAGTGAAAACTTTAAACTTGGTTGAAGTAAAGGTACAATTTGTGTGCACATGTGCATATATAAAATCTGATTGTATGTTTCAATTTCATAATTAATTCGTATTTTGACAAATATTCAGAAGATTTGTCTTGTAATTGTTATGAGTAAGGACCGAGAATATAATCATTTTACAAAAAAAAATGTGTAGCATTTTTCCTCACTATTTTTCCCATTATACGGGTTTCTGTATTTCAAAAACTCCATTGGGAAATTTGCGTAGTAATTTCAAATTTCTAATAAACTTCTCGCACTTTAACCTGCAATGAACTCTTTATCAAACATTAGCCAATTCAGCCAATTTGTAGATTACAATTAATATTTATATCCGATGAAACTGTTTAATGGGGAACACAAAGATAATATCAAGAGAACTTTACTGTGGATCACGTTCAACTGATAAGACTTAACGTACTCCAAAAATACATAGACGAACATCGAAACCTATCGAGAGAACATGATGAACTTCCTATTACTCAGTGTCCTTATTCTTCCACTTGTTGATTGTGTCGATCCTTTACCGTCCATATCCGTAGTGTCTGGATGCAGTAAGGATGGTAAATTGTACAAAGAAGGCGAATCTTTCCAGCCCACACCGTGCGAGCATTGCTTCTGTAATGGAGGCAAAGTATTATGTGCGATTACAGACTGTTTCATGCCAATGTGCGTGGACGCTGTTCGTGATCCCACAAAATGTTGCTCTGTTTGTCCACATGGTAAGTTACAAACATCATATTACATCTGCATATGCATTTCTTTCCTTTTACAATATATCCATCACTTTAGCCTGTATTCGAATCTGTATCGAAAATTTTCTCACGGAGTAAAAAAGAGGCTGGAGATACCAAGGGGACATTCAAATCTCACAAGTCAAAGAAAAACTGACAACGTCATGGCAAAAACGAAAAACGACAAAAAGACGGACAAATCCATAAGGCACGACATAGAGAATTAAAGATTGAGTAACACAAACCCCACCAAAAACTCATGTGTTCCTGAAGGGTAAGCAGTTTTTGTGCCACATGTGCACCCGTCGTGTTACTCGTGGAAGTACAAATCCGGGAAATCTGTTTTAACTATCTGGGAATCTAATCAAATGAAAAAAAAAGAGTTTTAATTTTTTGTTCCAGCTTTCCTTTAATGCAAAAGACATGCACTTCTACCAAACCGTTTTAAACATTAGGGCTAAATAACATTTCTATATTTAGATACTTGTAGAAAAGTAGTGGGACAAAACCTTGAATATTCAAACTTCGTTTGGTTCTATCATTTTGCTATATTGACATTTGCCTTTCGAATTTTAACCATAAGAATACTTAAATCAGTAAAAAAGTGATTATTGAAGTCAAATATACAACAGTTTTAAGATAATAATTAGGTTATAGGGGACGATTACTTGAGGAATGAGATACTTTAGCTCCAATGTAATGAAAATTACTTGATAGAAATTTATTAGAACACTTTTAAAGTAATTTGTACATTTTGGAAAGAGTTATATTGATATTGACTAAATAATGGGTTTACGCAGCATCAAATATTTAGTAAGGGGACTGGATCGTAACCCTTGGCTAGCGAAGATGCATTTCTGTACAATTAACGGGTCCTTTTATTCATTTCACGGATTTTACTTTTTTCAAAGCACGTATATGATTTATTAAACGAATTTACACAAAAGGATTACAGAACTGTACATACGTCTTATTTACATATTGCTGAGCTACTACAATGAAAATTTAAGAACAAATTTAAGATTATGTGTGTAAAATGTCAATAAATAAAGCACCTTACTACTTATTTAGATAAAAGCAACAATTCATTAGACTGTGCTTTTTTTTATAAAAATTCAGTCGTTAATGGTATGCATGCTTTTTGAAGAAAAAACAGTTATGTTCCCTCAGTGCGTTATTCGACTTGTTTTAGTGCTTTTCCGTGCTCTTTTGGTTACAATTGTAGGGACTACACAATCACAAATGAATGATATTGTTTCTTGAATTGATGGAAAGTCATCTGTTTACTTGTTTTGTATGTCATTTCTTGTTCGATTGCCGCATATCATTTAAGTTTACGCAATTTCTTTACTCAGGCTTGTAATTGCAGGTAGAAATTGCTACGCAGGAAACACAATAATCCAGGCAGGAAAATCTGTAGAAATAAATGATCATACTACATGCAGCTGTCCGACCAGATTTGGATTTGGAATGACAGCACTGAGAGCTGTGTGTGCAACTAGGGTCGATAGTGTAACTGTTAAAGTTGTAAACTGATTAAATAACTGAGATTTATCAATAATTATTATTTTTCATTCATTTGCATAGTAAGTAAACAACACAGCTGTATTTAACTACGGAGTGCATCAAGAAACGTTCGTCGACTTTCCAAACTTTCCCGAAATCATGCGTTTAACACCCTTGCAATCAGCCGCACTCACAATGCAAGAGTCATCCGTTACGCACGCATACATTTTGATTGCCGAGTTTATGAAGCTTCGGTCCTTGCTTGGAAGTTGGAAGACTCCTTGATGATACTACTTACACGTCATTTCATGTTACGTGTAAATAATTAGATATGGGAGACACGTCAATCAGACATTCACCACAAAACACATTCTTGTCAAATATACACATTTAGAGTGTGTTAAATTCTAACTACAAGCTACTTAGTACACAATGTTGCCTACTCGCCATCCATACCATTTCATTAATTACTCAACTTATAGAGATGTAAGACTATTTGTTCGTGGTCTTATCTTATATCAGTTTCATTGTATTGGTGTTTATTACAGAAAGTGGTGAAATAAATATGTCGTAATATACCTATATTGATTCAAAATGTTGTGGCCAATATGTAATGTTTCTAGTTTGTTTCAGTTGGCCAGGGAATTGATGAAGACATGATAGCGTGATGTAGTTGGTTTGCTAGATAATGTTTACCTACTAGATGAATTTTTTTCTATCAAACTGATCGATTCAAATATCCGTTTTCTGCCATCTGTTTGACTGGGGAAATTTAATTGTCAATTATAAACGTTGTATTCAATAGGTAAAATAGTTACTTTTAAAGTTTACTTAATACTCGTTATTGACATCTCCTTATTTCTGTGTTGCCTTACTAAAATTACACTTATTCCTGTTTACATATTATGAAAAAAATAAAGTATCTAAACATATCTATAATCATTAATTTGGACTACTTTTCAAAGTTTTGTTCTTGGAAAATGAAGTTCTTAATTGTATCGTCCCTTTATACGATTTTTCTTCTGTTTTTATTCTTCAACGTTGTTACAGAAAAGATGGTAAACGTGATATCAAAATATTTTTAAAAACCGTGCATAATGAATAGACCTTATCGCTGTTTTGGGAATCTACGGTACATTAACCGAGAATTTGCGACATTTGATCTTTTGATGTCATATACAACTTTCACATTTCTTCTCTGGCGTCATACATTTTCTCTTGTGACGTCAGTATTTACGGGAACGGCTGTCACGTGTAGTAATTGTGGGAAAATAGCGATAAGGTCTATATACCAGGTATTGTTCGTAATTACACTTTTCTGTATTCCAAAAACCCCTTAGAAAATTTGCGAAATTATTTCAAATTTCAAAATAAATAATCGAACTTTAACCCGCAACGAACTCCTTTTAAAACATTAGACATTTCAGCAAATTTGTAGATTACAATAAATATCTATATCCGATTGAACAAATGGAACACAAAGATATTATTGTAATATCAGAATTTTGTCTTTGGCAATTCATAATTTTACTATTTAATATAACATTATCAAGAGAAGTTTAACTGTGGATCAAATCCAACTGATAAGATTATACGTACTCCACAATTACATAACATCGGAACCTATCGAGAACATGCTGAACTTCCTGTCGTTCAGTGTCCTTATTCTTCCACTTGTTTATGCTGTTGATCCTTTACCGTCCATTAGTGTAGTGTCTGGATGCAGTAAGGATGGTAAACTTTACAAAGAAGGCGCATCTTTCCAGCCAACACCGTGTGAGCATTGCTTTTGTAATGGAGGCAAAGTAATATGCGCGATTGCAGACTGTTTCATGCCAATGTGCGTGGACGCTGTACATGATCCCACAAAATGTTGCTCTGTTTGTCCAAATGGTAAGTTACATATATCATACTACATCTGAAATGCATTTTAACGAGTAGTTGAAGTGACCATTGCAAAACATACATGCTCATTTTTTTTCTTTTACGATTTCTTTCTCTTGAGAGTATTAGACTAGACTGTATTTTAAAGCGTTATCGAAAATTTTCTAGCAGGGTAATTATTATAAATATCTGGGAATCTTTTCAATAGAAAGACAAAAAATCTTTTCATTTTTGTTCAAGATGCTTTCTTTCCATGCAAAATTTTACAAAGTTTTTAGCGCTAAATAACATTTAGATTATTTGAATATTTGTGGGGGAAAAGCAAAATTTATCGTTTACGCCCTTGAATATTTAAACTTCATCAATTTCTATTCACTTTGCGAAATTGACATTGGCATTCCGAATCATTAGCATAACTTGCTTAGCTTTCCCATTTAATGTTCTTTTGGTGTTACAAAAGAGTGAAAATTACTTGATAGGAATTTCTTTTAATGCTTTAAAGTAATTCGTACATTTTGAAAAAAGTTATATTGAAATTGACTTAATGATGGCTCTTGGCAGTATCAATAGTTTGTAATTTGTCTCGATAGGGGCGATTTTGTGTCCACTTTTGTGTAAAGACTCGTCTCAAATGTAGGATCAACGTCGACGAGGCAGCAGCACTAAATCAATTAATCTAGAAGTCCACATTTTTTTTCAAGATTGCTGTCTCATGTCTTTACAATTACGTCCTATTTTATTCATTTCACTATTTTAACTTTTTTTCAAAACACGTTTATGACTTTTGTTAGCGAATTAACACTGTAGGATTACAGAAATGTAGTAATAAATGTGTCGTACTTACAAATTTCTGAGCTACTTCGATCGTTTAAGTTCAAAAATATAAGATGATATGCTTATTATTTCAAAAAATAAAGCACCTTACTCATATAAATAAATGCAACAATTCATTAGACCATTCTTTCTATAAAAACCCAGTTATTCATGGTGTGCATGCTTTTTAAAGAAAAAAAGTCTTTCCCCTTAGTGAGTTCTTCGACAAGTTATATTGCTTTTCCTTGTTCCTCTGGTTACATTTGCAGCGACTACACAGTCATGAACCAATGATGTTTCCGTTTGAATTTATGGAATTTCGACTGTATGTCATTTCTCGGTAAATTTCTATATCATTTACGATTACGCAATGTCTTTACTCAAGCTTTACTCTTGTGATTGCAGGTAGAAATTGCTACGCAGGAAACACAGTTATCCAGGGAGATAAGCCTGTGGAAATAAATGATCATACTACATGTCACTGTCCGACCAGATTTGGATTTGGAATGACCGCTTTGAGAGCTGTGTGTGTAATCAAGGTCAACAGTGTGACTACTAAAGTTGTAAAAGTTGTAAACTGATTAAAATAACTGAGCTTTATCAATATTTATTCTGTTTCAATCACGTTACATAGTAAGCAAACAACACTCCTGTATTTAGCCACGAATAAGGCCGGAGTGCATCAAGAAACGAACGACTCCCAACCTCCGAAGCAAAGTCGTCGGCTCTCCGAACTTTCCCGAAGTCCTGCGTCAATGAAGCGTTGGTCCTTGCTTGGAAGATGGAAGACTCCGTGATTATAATACTGCCATACGTGTCAAAAAATAGATATGGGAAACACGTCAATCAGACAGCCACTACAAAATACATACTTGTCAAATATACACATTTAGAGTGTGTTAAATTCTAAGTACACGCTACACAATGTTGCCTTCTCGCCATCCATATTATTTCATCATTTACTCAAGTGATATAAATTAAAGACTAGTTGTTCGTGGTCTCATCTTTTGTCAATTTGGTTATATGGGCGTTCATTACAGAAATCGGGAAAATAAATATGACTTAATGTTCATATACTGATTTTAACTGCTGTGGCCAATATTTAATATTTTCTAGTTTATGTCAGTTGGTCCGGGAATTGAAGATGACATGATAGTGTGATGTAGTTGGTTTGAAAGATATTTTAATAAATAGACCTTATCGCTTTTTTGGAAATCTGCGATACTTGATCCGAGAATATGCGAAATGTTTCACTTTTTTTATTGCGTCAGACATTTACTTTTTACGGCAGTGATGTCGAGTAATTGCGGACAAATAGCGATAAAGTCTATAAGCAGGTATTTTCATAATTACAATTGAACTTACCTGAGGGTTTTATTACAGGGCAAAACAATGTAGTCACTAACTGGCACCATTTCGAATTCTCCAGTCCTACTTTACACATACACACACAAAAACAAACACCAAAAGCACCAAATTTTGCCCCCAAAACAAGACAGTTGGAAAGGAATTTTGAATGATTGACTGTTTGTCGTTTTATCCACGTTTAGTTGAGAATATGTCTCAGGGCGAGTACAAATTAAAAATATAAAAAAGCAGCTTGTGCAAAGTGTGCGACGGGATGAAGGGTCGAAAATTTGGACTACCACTAGATTAATAGGATATGGTGCAGAAATTTATCTTTAGGGAGCTACCAATGTTGTCCTGCATTTTTTTTAGTTGTAATCTCTGTCCTGCCTTTTTATTTTTCACTCTATTCGTTCCTGCCTTTTTTTTATTAGTTTATCCTGACTTTTTTTACATAAATTGTCATCCTGCCTTTTTTTTTACTCAAAACTCCTGTCCTGCCTTTTTTTTCAAATTTCATCCTACCCCCCCCCCCCCCCCCCTCCCAAAAAAAATCAAATGGTAGCTCCCTTAGACAATTACCTTCATGTCATTTAAGTAATTGTTGTAAGGAATCCCTTACATGCAGCGTGTGGTACTCTCTGAACACGATGCATTGAATTTAAAGTCCAAATTCTGACCGAATATTTATATACCCAGCACATTCAAAAAGGTACCTCATTGAGCCGGATCTATTTATATACCCAGTCAGTCCATTGAAACAATATCAGTTCAGTCTAAGGTTTTGTAAGCAAAATGTATGTGCATTGAAAACAACATTTAAGCTGTTTTAGGACCAATACAAATGCAAACAACAGAATTCTTGGCCACCATATTCCTATCCACGTTAAATTTTTCACTTCCAAACATGTAGGGGGAAGCGGGATCAATATACCATTATTTACACATCAGACCGTACTGGATACACCAAAGCAGGTACTTCATATCTGAGAAACAGGCAATATATATGCCCTCAATTTTAAAATTCATTCCTAAGGTTTTGGATTAATCAAAATTATCAGTCAACATGTGTACTACAAGGATCACCAGTGTCCTTCACCTTTCATTTGATACCTTAATTACTAAAATTTATTCTACAAAGTTTGATATTTACACCTGTGCATGCGTCGGAACTATTTTGTTTTTAAAAATATCTACTTTGTTCTTTTTTGACCGGGCCCGATTTGGTGCTGTTACATCTTCTTTAGTGATTTTTCTTCATCAATATATTTTTTTATATGTAGTAGCAGATAGATAATATGATATTACCCGTTGCGTTAACATAATCACATGAATTATTTGCCCAAATACAACATCAGCCTCGAAACCTATATTTTCTATTACCACAGCTGGTTGCCTTTGTAGGACTAATAGGGTGTCGGAGTTATAGCGTACTTTATGCTTTGGTTTTTACTCATTGGTGATTGTTGAAGGCCTATGGTGACATGTAATTGTTGACATCCTTGTCGTTCGTTTTTTTTTTGTAGATAATTGCATTCATTACACATTACACTTCAATATGGTTGCTCGCCTTGAACATGCATACAATATTTTCCACTGGACTTAAAGCAAAAAGCAATCAACCAATATGATTGCAGAAAGATGAAGTTTTAAGAGAATTGGTTGAAAATTTAGGGAGGAGTTGATTACACTAATTATATTAGTAGGCACATATATTTTTTAAAGTCATCAACGTACTTATTATAAGCCTGTCTTGAACTTCGTGAAACCGGGCTAATAAATAGATGTTTCCCCTGAATGTATTTCACACAAGGAACATTTCAAAATGATCTTCAATCTTTACTACAATTTACGATAACACGACTCTATGTGTGTAACAATATATCTCGTATAATTTTGAACATGTAACTAAAATTATAGATGCATACAGAAATGTGGAAAGGGCAACTTTAAAAGATTGGGGCAGATTTTTAGTATTTATGAAGGAGTATTTTTTTACCAATACCGAAACAAAATGGTTGTCCTCCAATGCAAAAATTTACAATAACATTCAACGTCATTAAAGCAAATAAACATATAGAGAACTACATACGGTCCTTAACCATAACAAAAGTATATACCATATGTCAAGCTATAAACCGCCTCAAGTATATGAATATGTGGTGGATATCACCAGTTTTATGAGCGCGCAATCCTCAATTTTTTAATCTTGGTAATTTGAATAAGAAATGGTATAAAAAAGAACATACAATTAAAATAAGTTTAGAAAAACACTTAAGATACAGCATAAACATAGGTACCCATGTAAAAGTTAAAACAGTATTTAAAATAATGAAAATCATCTTAAAAACTACACTTTGAAATTAGATAATTTATTTCGGAGTAGATTTCATACAGCAAGGTTGTGAAAAGGGCTGGACGAAACGATATGTGAATGGTCTCTTATTATTACACAAAAAGTAATTGTTTATTAAATGGAACAATAATATAACTACGTATTTTTCATAATTCCTATAAATTTGCTTTTTCTAAATAAAAACCAACAAAATAGTGAAAATTTAACAGGTTTTTTTTATTTTTTTTAATAGTTTGCAGCGAAGTACTTCCCTACCAAAATGAATTAGTTTGTATTCGAAGAACAATTCATAGCTACGATATAATTTCGATTTTGGTTAAGAATATCATTCCTATTCAAACAAACTCAGATTTGACCAAATCTTTAAACTTTGTAATTTTTAGTCCTCGCTTCAGGCATTTATAACTAGAAGACAAATAGTGTAACCTCAAAGTACATAATAATATGCAACTGGTATACTGTAAAATTCAATTAAGTTTGAGGAACGTTTTGAAAATGGCATCAGCGTTAAATAAATTTAGCGCAAGTCGATCCTACATCTTACAAAAGTACTATGTTTATTACTGGTATTTTCTAAAATTCGTTTAGTTAATCAATACAAGGGCCATACACAAGTTGGATCATTTCTGTAACACTTGACCTGACGACGTGCTGATAAGGATTCTACACGCCTTCTTTTTTCACAATAATCTTCTATAATGTATGCACAGAAATTACTTCAGAGTGTAATTGTAATCGTATATGTTACGGTAGTTAACTCTTTAACTATTCCTCATCTGGCGACCCCACCATCCGGGTGTTTCAGGGATGGAAAGTTGCATCCAGAAGGCAGTCACTGGAAGCCGTCTCCGTGTGAATGGTGTGACTGTGTGAGTGGACAACCACAGTGTCTTATTGCTGACTGCTTTATAGTTGAATGTGTGGATTCTGTACAACACCCTGACAAATGTTGTCCTGTCTGTCCAAATGGTAAGATACGAAATCACGTGTTATATTCTGACAGGTCACTTGTATGTTCACATGAGGAGAAATTACATGATGGCAACATGGCATATTTGTTTTTATTATAAGTGGCAAAACATGTAAAAAAAAGTATGACAAAAATACCGAACTCTAAGATATATTCAAAAAGGGGAAGTACATTAAAACTCACAAAATCAAACATTAGACTTTATCAATTAACGGAACAAATGGAATACAACTATCATAATCCTGGCTTGTAAGTATGAGTGGCCGTTCATGTCATGATACTTGTCAAAAGCATCGTGATACTTATTAAAAGTATCATGATACAAGTCTTAAGTATCATGATACTTGCTTAAAGCATCACGATGCAATTGATTTAACAAAAGCATCGCGATGGAAGTTAAAAGCATCACGATTGAAGTCAAAGGCATCATGATGGAAATTAAAAGCATTGTAAGATACACACATGCACTACAGGCATGTCTATACAAGAGATTATAAACTGAATGTTTAGATCAAATGTCACGGTTTCTTAGTATGTAAGATACACAGGTATATAAGGTATGATACTTTGAATTTTTGATACAGAGCACATCAGACAGGGGGTCAATTACTTTTGAAAGTGATTAATTACATTCAATTACAATTACAAAATCTTCAATTAAATTACACATTACATTTGACTTTTTTTATCAATGTAATAAATTACTTTCCAATTACTTGTCAAATGTAATAAATTATTTCAATTACTTCTGAAAGGAAAATTTAGATAAAATATTGAAAACATGTATTTATTCTATGATATGCACATAAGTATCATACATTGCTTTATAGTAATAACAATTGAGATCTACAGCAACTATTTTCATATTCAGTCAGTATCAAAGAAGAGTAAAAGTTAGATATCCGGTGTGTTATGGGAATAAAGAAAAAAC